TTCTGGAAGTAAAAACGACCTCTTGTATAATGAATCGCGTGTCTCGGGTTCGGAACAAGACCTGTTTTATTCAGTAGCTTCCTTAATGTAGCTGAGGCGTTTACAGCGTAAACTATTCTGCAATTCTGTTTCCTTTTCCGAAAGGCTATAACAAGTGTTTTATGGCATTCGATTTACATTTTACCCTTTCTTTTATCACCGTATCGAGACAGTCAAGTAACCACTCACCATATATCAAGAAACAAAACCCCGAAATCTTTATATTCTAACACGTACGAAGCTTTAATCTGATGCAAAGTCAATAATCCTCGTTTCTACCCTTTCATCATTTTGATTTATATCGGTTATATATTAAAAGAATCACGCTTCTTCTTAAGCACTTCGAATGCATTTTAAATATTTAAATCCATCCCAAATGACCTTTTCCTTGTTTTTGTAAACAACATCGAAAATCTTTAAAGATTAAAACATTAAGCTGTAAGCTAATTAATGCAAGTCGTATTACTTTCAACCATCATTTCTTAAGTGTAAGCTTTTATATCTATATAATTTTCTAATACGTTTAGATGTCATCTTTAAATAGAATATTTTGGTAATAAAATTTTATCACGGGTAATAAAACCTTTTTTTTTTTTTGGCAAGTGTTCTAGGATGTAGGATACCGTTTCACCTGCAAAGTTCTAGTTTAAGTCTAGATTAAACGACGTTTTTCTCAGTTCTAAACGGGGAAAAAAACGAGAGGAAACAGAAGATAAATCTTTCTAGAATCAAAGAAACTTAAACTTAATACTGGAGGAAAATTTCAATTATGCAAAACGAGAAGTTTTCAGTCAGATGGACGTGATCCAGCACAACAAAAAGGTTTAGAATTTCCAAAAAAGGAAATCATTGCACTGTTATCTTGATCCGATGTACCAAGAAAATCGGTTTTTTTATTGCGTAAACATAGCTAAACTCGGATATTTCTACGTGAAAGAAAATAAAAGTGTTCTGATTTATAACAACAGAATAACGAGACGAGTCTTATACGTATGTAATTTGTCCACCCTAAAGATTCTATCCCCTTCACAGAATTAAAAAAAAAAAGGAATAAAAACTTGTAAGCAGGAAGATGAAACACGTAATGAAGTGTCGAAATTTCCTCCACTGTTTATTTTTTTTTTATCGAATAAATATACGAAAGGAAGTAATTAGACATTTTGTTCTTAATTCTTGTAATTTATATTTATGTTTAGTAATACAATATAACGTCAACAATAATTTCACAAGTTCCTAGAAAAAAAAGGAGGTAAAAAGAGTCAAGTGTCATTCATTCGTCATTAATTATACAACATACCTGTTTCATTCTATAGAAACCTGTTCTGGTGTATAGAAGAATAGTTACAGGTTGGTTGTTTAAATAATATTTTATTTATAAATATTTGTAAGATATAAGATAAAATATTCCTTACAATACGTTCAGGTTATTATATAACTTTTAAAGAAAATACAACTTGGCTTAAAAGTAAGTTAACCGTGTGTTGGGGGTGTTTGTTTGTTTTTTTTTAGTCTCGTCGATGATTAACTGACTTTTGGGCCATCTTATATTTCCATGTTTTAATAGTGTTTATCACTTACGTAATTATTATAATATGAAGAAGTATTCGAATAATTAAAAAACCTTACGCAATAATTTGATTAATATAAGAACACGAAGCTGAAATAATACTTTTATTCGTATTTTTAGTAAGTCACGAACGTACATAATTGGTCCACTTAAAGAATCCTTTCGATTGTGAACTATCAATCGCCGGAAGTGACATCACAAATAGTTTCCCTTCAGTTAGAAACAGTATTTTTCTTTCTATTTTTGTTTTAGAGATTATCTACGTCACACTTAACGTATGTAGACTATACATATATATACATATATTTGTATAGATTTAAAAAATATATAATGGAAATTAATACTGAAAAATGCTACAGACAGTTTCACGTGCCTAACGAATTCCTTCTCGGATTATTCATATTTAGAAAACTATTTTTAGACGGCAACAATCTAATTAAAAATCGAAACACGTCAAAAGCAACCCGAAAAGTCAATTCACGTCCGATGCCAAAGGAAAGGGGTTGAAATTTCTATAATAAAATTCATTTCCGTTCTCCTTTTGACGTAAAATAAAAATAATTAATCGTTCCGTAAAAGAGTAGAACTTTCAATCACCAAAAAATATATATAATTATCAAAATTGTCAACCGAGCTTTGGGTGGAGACATCACCTCCCGTGTCACTTCTACGTCATAGGACGGAGTCGCTTTACGTCACGCCGCATTGTTAATATATTAAAGCGTTATTAAGTGTCGGAACCGGTGAACAATAGACGCACTGTCAAGGTTACGACGTTTTTTAACTCCTCCTTTCGCCTCATTAGTTCGGAATAGAAAGTCACGTGGTCAAGTTCCCCCTTCTCTCGATTTTATGGAAAGATATTCCGTCCGATAATCTCACTCTTTCGGGGTCGGGAGAAGGTGGAAAGAGGTAAGTTTTGTTTCGTTTAGTGCGATCGCGTCGCACCAGATGGTGCCACCGGAACTCCCCTCGGACTATATAAACAGGTTGTGTTCTCTTAATTATCGAACACGGCAGGTAGTGTCTACCGCGCACGTTTTAAAAAAGTACAAAGACAAACGTTTGACGCAATCGGTCAATCGATATTCTGTTAATTTTCGTTCCAATCAATCGGCGGTAGCCTCCCCCCGCGAAATACAGTACACGAGACGCATGCGCTCCGACACGTGATTAATGGGCGAAAAGTACCAATTTATTTTCCAAATTGCACCCCGGAGCAAGAGGGGGAAAGGATTACCCTTCGGACCGGTCTCATCTGTTTCCCGAGTAGAGAGCGAAAGAGGGGGGTCTAGATAAGGGGACGTCCACCTGGGGCACGGATTTCGATCGATAGACGGCAGCGGGTGACCCCAGCTGGACCTGTCACCCTCCCGACGTCATTTCCGACCTGTCTCTAAACGCTTCCTCTCCTTATTCCGTAAAAATTACTACCTAGAAATTGTTATTTCCGCCTCTTTACACAAGTTTTTCCCCTCCTCTTCAGCGAACTGATTGGAAAAAGTTCCCACCGAACATCCTTTGATTACGTTTTCCCGATCTTCTACGATTCTCTTCACGTGCATTTTCTTTCGTCATCCGCGGCAATTGTCATCCCGACGGAAAACTCATTACGGATTCTCGAACGGTTCCTTCCTTCGGAGGTTGTGTTCTAACAGAAATTCCGGTGAGTCAGCTCGTGAGTCAGTCACGATCAAAAGATAAACCGATTGATTTTTACCATAACCAACTGATGCTATCCATGGAAATAGTTATTCGCATCTTCCTACATACTTTACAACAACATGTTTAAAGGGTTTTGTCGTACAGTGCATTTAAAGTACTATTTACTAGTTTTATATATATAATGGATAATATACATACTACACCGACACTACTTTTAACACAATATTAGTGAACCTGGACGCTTATACCCGAGTCACTGTCAGTGTAATTGTGTCTTGTTGTAAACACTGAATTATTAAGTATATAAGTTACTTATATCCCAAAATATAAGTACTGTACAGAGTAAAGTGGGGTAGATTGGAGCTAGAAGACAGTACCGTATGATGATAATGATTAATACAAATATTAAATACTACTAATTTTAATTTAATACGCATAAATAAATACATACAAATAACACTAAACTGTCTACACTACACTATGTCTCTTGTTTATATAGTAACACCTGTAATCGATTGTTACTCGCGCTAAATTATCTGTAATAGTATTATTTAAAGGAAATCATAATCACTCCTGGAAAATTAATTTCTAAATAATGAATCCTTAATAGATTTTCGAGATTTTTACCGTATTATTATAAGAATATACTGTATTGTTTTTACATAAGTATACTAGCAACATGTTCCTGTTGATATCCTAACAAAAAGGGTTGTTTTTATAATAACAATCTTTAAAAAAATCGTCAGGTGGAAAAGGTACAGGTAATTTTACCTATCTACAAGAACAACTACAAGACTAATACTCCTGTATTTCAAGCAATATTCCTTGATACAAGCGAGCGACTAGTAAAATAACAGAGGCTCATTGATCAACGTCGACCATCGATCTTTGTAGTTATTTTAGAGTTCTTTATCTTTCTGGTACGAACAGCGATTCAGAAGAATGATCGGATGGGAGTTATAGTGGTGGCTGATTAAAGGAGGTGTGTCCACTCGGGATTTACATGCGCTCCCGACACGCTTAGCGGTTCTGTAGCTCATTAGTCTGATCCTGGCAGTGAGGGGATCTCCGACGTCCAATTAGAAGGCTTTGGTCGTCGAGGACACCTGCCTGGACAATACTCGCAACACTTTATTCCTATTCTTTTGTCGATGGCGTGACTCAAACCCTATCGATCGTTCCCAAGCAAATTCTAAATATATCCAGGTACAATACGGTATCCAAGATGAGTATCTGAAAATCGTGGCCCTCCTCATAAACAAACAGCAAATTGAAATTGATGGACCTCCTAAATCTGGCATTTGGTTTCTAATATAGGGGTTGTATTAAAGCCAATAAGCATTTTATATGTTGACGGTAACTCAATGATTTTGAGTTTAACTAATTAAAAACAGTGTATTTTTAATGGAGAACACGTCGAATTTAATTCGTAAGCTATTTAGTGTGGAAGAATGGTTAGTTTACTCGACCTCATTACTGCCAATTAGGAGATGTGTATAGGAAACGAGCCAAGCTCTTGGCTGTTCTCGCGATCGATATCGTCGCAAAATCCGAGCCCTCCTAAAAAAAAAAGATTTACCTGTCTCGCACCGATATTAAATTCAAGGGTATTTATATAAGTAGGTGCAATGCACAATGGCTTACTCGTATCGTTTTAGGTAGAGTCGAGTCACCCCGGTGAGTCGCCATCTTTGCCAATCGAAATGCAAAAATATCGAACAAAGCGTCTCCATTATCTACAACAGGATGTGTATTCGCCCGCGGACTTATCTTCTCTTGTATCGCAGATACGTGGACAAGTAGGCAGTTCTCTTCCACATCACCGGTTGCCATGACGACTAGCGGAGGTTCGTGCCCAGAAAGAGACCCGGAGTAATTGTTGGGATAATGAAACACCGTCTGGGGAGATACTGAATTGGCCGATTCATCAGCAGTTTGTTCATCCGGTTCAATTGTTTGCAGGGTAGAAGCTGGTCCTCTTTCAAAATTTCAACCGGGATTAATTTGGCTTATTTACGGCATCTTTGCCCTCCCCCGAAGTGATGCGACGAGTCGGATAGCTTCGAGCGATTTTAAAACGACGACACTGCCTAAATTAATTAATGTATTCGTCTATGAAGTTCGAAAATCCTCGGTTGATCTTTAAATAAATACAGAAATCTGTTTTTTTCTTTGGTAAACATTTTAAAAGGGGATCGTTTACGGTTCGAGAAAGCAAATCAGTGAACCATCACTTGTCAATTATGGCTGCAGACAGCGCAGTGTCTCTGGTAAAAGGTCGTGTCTTTACTTTTTTGTTTGAAAAAGTAATGGTTTGTCTTCTTTAGTTACAGAAGTTCCTAAAGTTTGGAAACATCAGACAATGCTAAAGAAATTATGCAATAGATAAATGAACAAAAACCCGTTGTAATAAGACTACAAAGTCTGTCATCCGTTTAAAAATTTAGGAAGAAAATTCACTACTCGTACAATACAAAGAATCCTTATAGATTCGGATGAATTTAATTATTTAAGAAACTCTTTCGTGTATAAAAATAGGATTTCATTAAGATTTTCCTGACGGTTTCTTTTAATAAATGTATCCTTTGTTTTCCTATTTAATTTCCCACCTTTCAATTTATATAGATCAATACTTTCAGATGAATTCATTCTGTATTTATTTATTTACTTGTTAAGTGTTTATTTCCTAATAATACTACAATAATTATTTATTTACGAATAAGTATATACATCATTCACCAGGAAGAATTTTACATTATTTCTATTGAAATTTTCATACATTCATTACCTTATAAAACACTATACGTACAGTACAGGATTCACTTTCCGTGTCTTCATAATAATAAAGAAAAGTTGAATACACGAAAAGATTTAGATTTCTCTATATTTAAATTATTTTTTCTTAGTTCCTATTTAAATTATCAATAAAAATATTAATACTAAAACACTTAAGAAAAGCTTAATCTAATCGTTGTAGCAATAAGTGAATAGAAAGATTATTTATACCCTTTAATCCGATTTAATACCCTCTCTAATTTCATACAAACGTGATAGACTTACAATAATGCATAGAAAAATAATAATATTTTATACAAACACAAATAATAATTACTTAAAGTAAGAAATTTTAATGTCAGTTTTATTGATGCTTAATTTACTGTACGTCTTCGATTGGAAAATCAATACATTGCAGTGTTGTTTTTTTTTCAAAACTTATAGCACCTATCGAATAAATGCAATCTGGAATATATCTCGAATGTTTTTCGTAATAAATTTTTCCGAATGTCTCCATTACTCTTAAGGTTTATTACAAGAGAACATCACGAAATACCGAACATGATTTTTATTTTATTACACGTCTTTTCTCCTATATTTTAATAGGAAAAAACGTTTTAAAATATCAAAAGTTTTCCCTAGTTTTCTCATTCTTAATAAGAATAAAACGGTAATTATATTACTCAGAATATTAACACATAAATAGTGTTATAGTAACTTCTTTACGTTGGCATTTTCATTCATTAATATAAGAAAAGACTAAATAAGATATAATTGTTTGCGGGTGTCTAGAGAATCTATCTAGACAACTATGAAATTAAATGAACGAAATAAGACTTTGGGAAGGGGGTTTTATTATATAAAAAAAGTAACAATTATCATAAAGAATATGAAAATATAATATCAATAACTTCATTGATTCTGTTATATGTATTTGTTTGTTTACATGGAAAGGGGGACGATTCTGTTATCCGTAATAATAACCCGAATAATTTAGTTTTGAGTGTTTATTGATAGAGTTTTTTGATAGGAAAGGAGCATGCGTTGATACGAAGCTTCGATTGGTGGTGGTTTGGTTATCATCGATCTACTCTGTCGATTACTACTCTCCCGAGAATTCCATAGTTAAATATGAGGGACGATATGAGTAGGGGCGATAAATGTCTTTGTAAATCGCCCTTCCTATTAAAAAACAAACTTGTATCTCAATCGGGACGATCGAATCCGTGTTACCCCTCTCTCATAATAGAAATAATAAAGAGTGCTCGAGTCTCGCTTACCCGCAATACCTGAGTGTATAGGTAGTAGGTTAATTAATTAATGCCAAAATCTATTCTATCTTTCCTACTTTAAGTTTTATTGCATAAAATATTGTAATGATAACATAGATTATTCTACCCCTTTTTTATTTGATGTTCTATCCTTTCATTAATCCTAAATCATATCTTTAAAAATACTTATCGATACCTTTCTTTAATCTTAGATTCTACTCCTTAATTAAAGCAATACCTAATTTTATGCCTTGACTTATTTAAGTTAGATAATATGTGAAGAAAAATATCTTTCGACACGAATCAACCTGTCAATTATTCTGTGGGTAAGACGAGAGAGAGTCAGATTATTCCAAGTTGTGTCTATTTATGAGATTTACCTTAGGAAAATTGATTGGAGTATAACTATCTTCGGGATGTTCTGCTATCAAAAATTCTTAAGAAGATATAATCTACAGACATGATGTACAGAATTGGAGAGGTTGAAGAGTTGCAGATAATTTATGTAGGGAGTAGAGATGAGAATCTGCGTGCTGAAGAAAAACGATTCTGAGTTATCTCTAGATAAAATTAGTTTCGCCTCTTAGCCTAAAGGTCATGAAAAGGCCGAGGATCGATATCGAAATTTCCAACTTAGGTCCCAGGCCCGTGGACAACTCCTACTCGGAAAGAGGTTCGGCGTGGGCGGAAGACAGGATTCCTCATTGGACGTCTCCAAGATAGGCGGAACATCTTGGTCGTGCATCGACCAATCAGGCGACATGACAGCCAGGGGTTGGTTTCATCCCGTACCTGGCTCATCAGACCGTCCGCCATCCGGAAAGGGTCGCGTAGTTTGTGGCGGGACCTTGTCCGATTCTCTGCCTCAACACATCTCAATTGGCGTTACATGTTCGGCCTACGCCACCGTTTACGTAATTTTCCCTCCAAGAAGACCAGCCTGCGCTGGGGGGACTGTTGTTTCCGCTCTCTTTCCCGAGCTCCACTCTACGATTATTCGTTTTCCAACCTCTCCCCCGTCTGTTTCTAACTCAGGCATTCTCTCACTATCGTGCTATTACCTGCCGGAATTCCCTTTCCGGCCTACCTCTATCTCAGGTAAGTTCTTTATCTCGCTATTTCTATCGCTTTCTTATCCTAACGCATCACCTAAAACTCCCACTAACCATCACGCTCTTAAAGTTGATTCTCCTTTTCTCACGTCCTAAAAACGACAAAAACATATCTTTAAAGTCATTTCTATTTTTAAAAAAAGAATAAAATTTCACCAAAGCGTTGAACATATTTCTTTTAAACGAATAAATATGCTATACCTTTTATTTACAAAATGTTTTTATAACGTTAAGAATGCTTAATATCTGACAGATAGAGAAATTATAAGATGCTAGTCGTACGCCATTCCAATCGAGCCATCTTCCTCCATTTTGTCAGCTACTCCGTTCCTCATCTCTTTGTGTTTTTACACATACATCTAAGAACTTATGACTAATTAGATCGTCCTCTATAGAAAGTTTAGACCAATATAAATTACACCAGTAACTTTAAAAAAAAACCATTCTTCTTGTAGAAAGTAAAGAGAACAACAGTCTAAAAAAATCAAACCCATTTTCTCCAGGAACAATTGCAAACTTTAATGTTTACTCTCTCAATTTGTTGATTTTCCTGTTTACCTTTCTTTCATCTTCTTTATCTTTCTGATCATTCGTTTTATTTTATGGCTCGAAATGCACGATAGTTAGTTACTTGGTTTTTATTCGAATTTAGCTTATTTAACTCTAAGTCTTTTGTTTCTTACAGAAGAATTCTTATTATTAACAAACAAAATGTAAGTGCAAGAATCAAAACAACGAACGAGATATATATTTTTTACATAGATACATGATGTAGGCCATATGCAGATAAATTTAGCATCGTTAAAAATTAATTAATTGTTATAAAATTGAAGTAATAAACACTGTAAATTACGTTATTTTATTTGTTAGCGGTTCATAATCTATACTCCTCGACATTTTGCACTCCATTTACTTCTTCACGTTCCCGTATAAGCCTATTTTCTTTCAAATTAGGCACCATTTGAGGGCGATAAAGCGAAGATTTTCGGTACAAATCAACCGTCTGTTCCAATACTACAGGAGCGAAATTGTCTACAACTCGCTCGCTAGTAGACAAAATCCTATATTTTGTATATTCGTAGGTAATTAAGAAAGTACCCATCTGGTAAGAATCAATTTTTTCCTTTTAGAAGATGGGACAAATATAATGGTCGAAATTAAATTTCTACCATTGCGGCTGGAAGAATTTTTCCAGCGAATATTTAATTGAGATTTTAAAACAATTTTTATACAAATGCATTTAATAAAGCGAAATAATTAGGAAAAAAAATGATAGAAAGTTAAAGACAATTGGTTTAATTTTCTTTATGTTAGTGGGACGTGGAATAATTTAAAGAAACTTTTCTAATTACTCATCTCTTAAGAAGTCTTTATAATAGTCTAAGTTAGACGGTGGACCATAAATTAATTTCTAACGAAGAAAACACACACTATACCTCAAAGACAAGCTTTATTCGGGTGGAGTCATATACACGATTTTCCGAAATCAAAGGTCAAAGTTTAGAGCTTATTAATTCCATTTCATAACCTGTAAAGATACAGCTAAACTAAACTGTTTCGGGAAATATTTATTGTTAAATGGGAACCTTTCAATTATTCAGATGTCATTCTCTATTCATCGTGCTACAACAATACAGAGAGAGGCATAGAAAAGACTAAATACTGATTGGTTTGAATAATTAAACATCCCGAATAGAATATTCTGCACTCGGTTGCCAATCGACCGCATACACCACTTGCACCTGCTACGGTCCGTTATGAGTCCCTCACGAATTACAGAAGCGCACTTAAGAATGATCTACTTTTACTACCCCATACGACAGGAGGAATCACGTTTTCGATTATTTTTCTTTATATAAAAGCCGAGTTTTTGACATTTTCTTATGCAAAATTTGCTCGATTGCTTCTACTTCCATACAGGTGACATAATATATTAGATAGTACGCTTTACTACATACTTTTTATTTATTATTTGAGCGTTTTTATGTAGATTAGAAAAGTACAATGTTTTTAATTGTTAAACCATTTATTGGTTTCTTTAATGTCATCTATCCAAGTAAAAAGAAAACATCGGAATTAACTTATTTGAACTTTGAACTTTTAAACTTCTCGTTTGTCATCGGTTAAATTTCTTGCAAATATTTTTTTAATTCAAAAATCCATAAAAATATTATTTAAGAAAGATTTATATTAGATTATTACGTTTATTTTCATTTTACAAAGTTTTCCACTCAGAATATGAGTTGATTCTCTCTTGATCCTCTTCGTTTTGTTTGTTTAGAACAACAACCCGCAACGAACACAATTCTTGAGTTTCCTCTGGGATAGATTTTCAACTTTCTGTAGATTCTTTCTGTGTACTTCAATCGACAATTCTTATCTCTTGAGGAGAATCTTGTAAGATATAAGAATTCGTTCTATACAGTAGGGTTATATTCTACTTGCAGAGTATTTTCACTGAAGACTCTTCGATATTTTTGTCTAGTTTTGTAAAGAGTCCTATTTTATAAACAGATTACTTATTATCATAAAATTAAAGCAATCTTCCATGCCAAAATTCCAAATTTAGATATCTTGTCTCGGAGACTTTTCTCTTATAGTAGATTTACTTAAACGAAAGGAATTAAGATGAATGTGGCCTTAACTTGTTAGAAATGAACGTGAGAGCTATAAGGATATCTTCCAAGTAAATTCTAATAATAATAATAGTTGCATCTCGTCTACATCTTATCTACATCTTCGTCCACATCTTTGTCTTATAGTTGCATCTTGTCAAGTAAATACAAATGTGCAATAAGATGTTTAATTTGGACTAATTCCAAGAACCTTTCCGAATAATCTTAAGATTTAGAACTATTTCTTATTTTCTAATTTGCGTCTATAGACAATAGATAGTTTCCCATACCGTGAAAAATTGCTTTTCGGGATTACTAAGAGTTAGAACTTAGAATTTCTCTGTATTAAGGTTATCTAAAATGGAACGGAAACTAAAATTTTGTCTATAGTAAAGGATTATAGCCGAACCTGTCATATAAAATGTACTCGAGACGATATCGTGAATTAATAATTAGATTTTTCTTTGTGTCTTCTCTCGTTTCATCTTTTCGTCATTAGAAATGAAATCAAACGAAATTTTAACGATTAATTTAAAATCGTATCCAGTAAATTTCAAAAATAATCCGACTTTAATGAAATTTTGACAGAAAGAATCTTTTAATCCGAGAGAAGATACCCGGTCAAGTGGGAGCATTTTAATTCCTTTTTCGGATGACTTTTCCTAGTTTTGAATTTAACATCGTTGGGATAAAGGCAAGAAAGTTTTGCAAAGTCTTGATCGCTCTCTTTGCTATTTAGTTCGAATAATTTATGAAGTTTGGCACATTTAATGAAACTCGCGATACGGGGGTGGAAGAAAACGAAGAAAGACAGGTATCGGGAGGTTGAAGGCAGATGCAGAGGCCGGATGTACACACAACAGTCGACAAAGAGTCTGCAATGCGGACCGTTCGATTTCCAATCCGCTTCCTTCCTTCCTGCCCCTCTCTCGACTGGTCTTCACCCTCCCTATACATTACCTCGGACACTTTCCACTCTTTTCTCCCTCTTCTTCATCTCGTACTATAAACAATCTTCTTTTCTACTTCGACATCTTTCAAACCTTATAAAGAGTAAAAATGTAATTTGTTCGTTTCCTCATTACGCAATTCCCCTTCCGGTCATTTTGCTCTTTTTCCTTTATTTTTCCACTCCGATGAGTCGGTCAACGAAGGGGGTTCATCCCGGAATAACAGAAGGATGGAACGATAATTACATCTACTGCCATAAAATCGCACTGAATATTTTATGATTACAGAGAGAGAGGAGCCAAAAATATCACACAAGTGTTGTTTTAGATATTTAAATATTTCTCCTTCTTCTCGAGTATATAACATTAGTTTTCATCACAATATCACGATTAGATGTTATTTAAGCTTCATTTAATTCTTGAAGTAAAATAGTTTTCGGGGAAAAATCCTTCTATACAATGAATCTACTTATAAATGAATATATTTTCGAGACTTTAAACATGAAAATAGGCCATTGTTTCAGGAAGAAAAACTAAACTTTTATTGGTTTACAACAAATGAATTTTTGTCTTCAATATTATGAAAATTCTATTTAAGAAAACCCTAAAAATATCATTTAAATTTTCTTTATTTAACGTAGTTTAGAGATTAGAATCAATTTAATTAAATTGTGTATATCGAAATTATAAGAAAAAAAAGTAACACTACAAGACTCTTGAGAATTTCAATTGAAATATTATGAGATAGCTTCTAATTAGAGGACTTTATTAACGAAAATTTTTAACTAACTTCTAGAAAAACAATCGTAGAAAAATTCGTAACTATATTGTCATTCCATTTTCTTAGTAAATTGACTTAAGCTTAAAGAATTAAAAACGTCCATCTTTTCTTTATTAGACTAAGAAATATAGTTTTTAAGGAAAACTGAATCACAATTCTTTTTAAATCTTTATTCTAACAAATAACAATTTCATCAAGGAAGCATAGAATAATTGAGAAAGAAATTCTCACCCCTTTTTTTGAATTTAACTGTGTGATAACTGATAAACAAGCCAACAAAACAACACCACCCACAGTTTCTTTACAGTTACTAAACAATATCGGTTGCCAGATGAATTTGTTTTTTTTTTCTTGTCTTTCATTAAACATCGATTTGCTATTTTGAGGTAGCATTGATTTTGGTTTCATTCAATTTGACAGAATATTAATTACCCTATTATCCACTCTAATGCATACATATTACTCTTCTATCATATTGTTTTATTAAATTAAAATACTCTTCTTTTTCTTTATCAAAAGTTTTTGAAGCAGATAAGATCATTTTGCAGTTCTTTCGATAGTTATAAATTATTTCTTTTTCTCCCCTATTTCCTTTCAGAACATTTAAGACAATAGGTCAGGTTATTCTATCTATCGTATT